TTTAGATCACATGCTTATTGGTTTATTTCTGTTGTTTCTTCGATATTGATGTGTTTCTGCTCCTGTAGGAAATGATCGGCCTTATTAAAAATTCAAAGATCCCCATCATCTGCATGTGCAACGATCGGAACCACCAGAAGATTAGATCTTTGGCCAACTACTGCTTCGATCTCCGCTTCCAGAGACCGCGAGTGGAACAAATCAAGGTACTCACACATCTGTCCTGTATATAGCTTTCAGTATAGATGGTACCTTTCCAGATGTGCAAACACTAATCAGAGCTTTGCATGACAAACTTGTGTTTTTTGTTTGTTTTTTTTAATGCGAGGGCCTGAAGATTTTCGGCATCGTCCTCGTGCACAGCGGTTTCTCCAGATTGTCAGAATCTTTTGAGGAGATTAACTGTAGATGATAATATTCGCCAACTCTTTACAATTTTGCATCGAGGAACATTATTCTGAAATTGTTCTGCAGTTTTCTGCAGATTGGTGAGCCTCTGCCAGTCTTTACTTCTGAGAACCTTTTTCTCTGTAAGATTTATTTTTAATACTCTGTCATGTCACTGTCCTTTTGCCTGTTAATCCAATTAGTTGCTAAATGTTCCTCCAGATGTTTCTTTTTAGTACCACTTACTTTTGAGCCTTCTGTTACTGCCATCAAATTCAAAATAAGCTTAGTTTGAACATTTGAGATGTTTTCTGTGTTTAATTGTGTTTTCTTTTATTGTGGATTTTATTAGTGAGGTTTTAAAATCGTTTCCTCCTCCTTTTATCTATATGTAATCCAGTGTCCCAGCTGCTTTTGGAGTTGGGTTTGTGCTAAGTGACAGAGTGATGAACACTAGAGTTTCAGTCACCCAGAGAAACCACAGCAAACAGCATCTATGACAGTCGCGTTTACTTCATTTCTCAGGGAGCCATGATGTCCATTGCTTTCAAGGAGGGAATCAGGATCCCGCCCCCAGCTCTTAACGAAATCATTTTAGCCTCCAATCAGGATGTCCGACAGGTAAAGAAATCAAAGCGTCAACTCATAACGAGCCCGAGATGGTTGTGTCCTGTGGTTACCTCCTTACCACTGTGGCTGTTTTCCTCTCCAGGTGATCCACAATCTCAGCATGTGGTCAGCCAAGGACAAGGTGATGACGTACGACCAGTGCAAGTTTCCGATGCCACACTGAAACTCTCATCACTCTGTCACTTAGCACAAACCCAACTCCAAAAGCAGCTGGGACACTGGATTACATATAGATAAAAGGAGGAGGAAACGATTTTAAAACCTCACTAATAAAATCCACAATAAAAGAAAACACAATTAAACACAGAAAACATCTCAAATGTTCAAACTAAGCTTATTTTGAATTTGATGGCAGTAACAGAAGGCTCAAAAGTAAGTGGTACTAAAAAGAAACATCTGGAGGAACATTTAGCAACTAATTGGATTAACAGGCAAAAGGACAGTGACATGACAGAGTATTAAAAATAAATCTTACAGAGAAAAAGGCTCTCAGAAGTAAAGACTGGCAGAGGACAAATAGTTTCAGAGACAACTGCTCTTAACCACGAAAGCCAACTCCCGGACGTCGACACGCACCAGCCTGTTCAGGTCCCTCATTAGAGAAACCTAACATAAATCTTACAAGCAATGACCAAGATAGGCGCCTCAGCCCACCAAGAGGTACTGCTAGCGAGACGTGTGAGAGATGCAGGGCTCACGGCATTTAGCAACTAATTGGATTAACAGGCAAAAGGACATGACAGAGTATTAAAAATAAATCTTACAGAGAAAAAGGCTCTCAGAAGTAAAGACTGGCAGAGGCTCACCAATCTGCAGAAAACTGCAGAACAATTTCAGAATAATGTTCCTCGATGCAAAATTGTAAAGAGTTTGCGAATATTATCATCTACAGTTAATCTCCTCAAAAGATTCTGACAATCTGGAGAAACCTCTGTGCACGAGGACGATGCCGAAAATCTTCAGGCCCTCGCATTAAAAAACACACAAGTTCGTCATGCAAAGCTCTGATTAGTGTTTGCACATCTGGAAAGGCACCATCTATACTGAAAGCCAGGACAGATGTGTGAGTACCTTGATTTGTTCCACTCGAGGTCTCTGGAAGCGGAGATCGAAGCAGTAGTTGGCCAAAGATCTAATCTTCTGGTGGTTCCGATCGTTGCACATGCAGATGATGGGGATCTTTGAATTTTTAATAAGGCCGATCATTTCCTACAGGAGCAGAAACACATCAATATCGAAGAAACAACAGAAATAAACCAATAAGCATGTGATCTAAAGGTCAGCTGGAGAGGTCTGAGGATCAGACTGAACTTCTATCTTCTGTTGCAGTTGCTCAGTCGACCATCAACCAGCGCTGAAACCTGTGAGTGCTTATTTTCCACATTTCCCTAATCTAAAACCTTTAACTTATAAAAGTTAAGATCTCTACCACCAAACTACACATCCTCCCACATCAACATCTCAACAAAAAACCCTTATCACTTACATATACAAAACAACGATTCACAGCACATCACTTCTACACGTACCTCGATAACAATTGCATAAAGATTATAATGTGCTCGTCTATTAATTATATACCATAGCTTGAAAAAAGCTCCTTACCGCAGCTTTAGCCTCGGCGTGTACCTCATGTACGCGAGAGGCGACATGGCCGAGCTGTTCGGACACAATCAGTACGCGATCGCAATCAAAGAGCACCGCGTGTGGTTTAACTGCCTCCAGCTGATGTCGCCCCCTGTTGACGTGCCTTGCAAAACGCCAAGGAAACAAGAAGAGACTTGAGAGCCGGTTTTTAGAAGTATGATACGCTTTCCAAGAAGAAGAAGGTTTAAGTGTCACTGATTAATCGTTTGTTGTTATGTTAATTTATTAAAAAGTTTGTCCAGCATGCACTTCATAAATATTGTAAAAGCACAGCCAGAGTTGCTGTTTAAGAAAAAGTGGAATAAATGAGCTCTTATCTACTTTAATGGAGAAGTCACTGCTGTACGAGAACAACAACCACATCTGTTTACTGTTTTAATAACAGCCTGTGCACAGACTGCGTGTCATTTTTAATCACTTGTATAAAAGGCAGCTGAAAGCTGGAGTGACCTTTGTAGAAGTTCTCTATGCTGGTGTTGTTCAGCGACTCGGCGACGACCTCCTTCAGGCTGTTTTTGCTGCGAGTGCAGCTGGCGTTCATCTCCACATAACTGAAGCCCAGCTCCTGCAGGACGACACACAGACGCAGTGAACGCGAGGCTGGCCAGTGTGTTACCAGGCGAGCTCATGAGAGGCTACATGAATCAATTCCCGATCTTCCCCAGCTGGCTCGGCAAGAACTCCTCGACCAATAAACACTCACGCATCGTGCAGGAGCTGTCCTCGCACATGGGTTTAAAGTCAGTGTTTCTTTATCGTCTTAAAATGATGCTTTTAACACATCGCTGAGCTCAAGCTGCTGCTGCAACACTGAATTATTTTATCTGCTTGGCTCTTTTCAGGACACTGAGCAGCAAACAGGCGGTCAACCTGGATTACCTGCACTACCTGCGACAGGCGATTCTAAATCCACTCCAGAAGCACGGAGCAGAGGGCGCTGCCGAAGCCGTGCAGCTGCTGGACGACTATCAGCTCATCAAGGAGGACGTGGACAGCATCATGGAGATCAGCGTCTGGGGAGGACAGCCCGACCCCTACTCCAAACTGGACTCCAAGGTGAGGAGGCGGCAACATTTAACTGTTTTGGTTTTTGTATTTTAAGTTTTACCGCTACTACTGATAATGACCGCTACTACTGAGGCCCCCTGGTGGTGGTGAAAATGTTAAAAATCTACATAAGGGAATAACAAAAAGTACCTTTAAAACCAAAGTTATGACGTGAATGATCTCAAATTGCTTCGTCAATCTCTGCGACTCATGAGAACAGAACTGGACGTCTTTACGTCCCAACAACCAGCGAGTTTTGACACCTGTCGTTGTCACCTTCCAGGTAAAGGCCGCCTTTACACGGACATACAATAAAGAGGTCCACCTAACACCATACTCCCTGCAAGTGGTGAAGAAAGGCCGCCGTGGTGGGGGAGGAGACTTTGAGGGAGGGGAGGAAATAAGCCAGGAAGATCCGGAGTCTGAAGACGAAGGAGAGGGGCTCAAAGCAGACGCTATGATTAAGGTGAGTGCATTCAAGCTCTGGGATCATTACAAGTGTTAAGTTCACCTTTCTGTATATTTCTCACACATGCATTCCTGTTCTTCCCTGCAGCAGAAGAAGGCCAAACCCACCAAGGAGTCAAACAAGGAGAAG